TTCACTTAAGATTCTTTGTTGTTTTCTCTCTTAAGTTTTTGAAATCTCTAGAATTTTAGACACCACTAGTGGATTTCGGTGGACACATGATGTGGATGGCTAAAAATTCCAGGACTGTTTCCTTAGGTGCATAGCTGGGGAGCCAATGTAGAGAACAAGGATTGACTAGTTTTAAGATGAGCAGAACACCTTAGGGCTTTCTCATGATGTAACGGCAAATTGGAAATCATTTTTGGAGACAAAATTAAGCAGTGATATCCTCAACCAGCTCTGTGACTGCTAAAGCAACTAGTGAAAAATTATCTGATACTTTGTTAATTACCTTCACTCTTTCCCAGTAAGATAGAATCATTAATTAGGTGAAACTATTTTCCTGAATTGCTCTTGGTCTTGGCTCTTTCTTGGACTTGTTAAAGACCACCTTCCTTCCTTACAGACAATTTCTTATAATCCCTTAGAGAATTACAGTAATCCTCCTGGCCCCAGCCCCGCCCCCACCAAATAAAACCTCCAGAAAAACAAGAAAGAAAAAAAAGAAGAAAAATAAAATTTCCCTATTATCAAAAAATAAGCAGGATTTTGTAATAAAAGATGTCTTTGATGTTACACGAATGCATTTAAAATTATGGGAAGAAGTCTTTCCAAGCTCAAAATTATTTGGTTTCTATGTAATTATGCTCTTAGTAAGGTTGATTTGAACATCCTAAACAGTGGTATTAGAGGAAGCGTCTCTAAGAATTATTCTTAATTGCATAGCGACCATTATTCATTGACAATTGATTTATCAGAAACCTATTACATTTAAGGCTTTTGATTGGTTCTGGGAGAGAATACAAATATAAATAAGACACAGTTTCTGCTTTAATCTGGAAATATTTTTAGCTTAACTGATGCAGCAAATGAATCTCATTTTTTCCTTTTGAAGGGTTTTAAAATCACTACTTGAGATGATATTAGAAACATAATGAAACACATAGTTATTCAGCACCTAGTATGTGCAAAGCACTGTGCTAGTTTGGGTCTTCGTAAAGGATTGAGATTTCACCTTTGCTGTAGAAAGACAGACTCAAGCAGACTGAAATGAGAATAAAGTAAAGGCATAAAACGATACTGCAGGAATGTAGCTTAGAAGCTACTCATGAACACAACAGGAATTATAGATATTGCATATTATAGACTAGATATAAAATTCCACATTTACTTGAATAATTGTTTAATTATTATTTTATGACATGATATAATACTATAAAGCTAGAACGCATTTTGGAGGTTAATACAAGAGAGTTAGCATTCTGACTTTGGCATACAGTATTTAGCCTCTGTGAGCTCAGTTTCCGGATACAAAGAATTCTTATGATAATAGCACTGTAAAGCATATTGTGAGGATTTTTAAAATTAATATATGAGAAGAGATTCACATAATAGATCTCCAATGAATAATAATAGTTCTTTCTCTGCTTATTGTACTTTGGGGGGAAAAACCCTATTCCCTATCCTCTGTAAGCAGTTGCACATAGAGGTACTCCTTGATCTGTCCACTCTTTATTTCCACTGCCACCTCCCTGTCCAGGCCACCATCATCTATCAACTTGCCTAGAGTAGGAGCTGTTCTGCTCTTGCCTCCCTATAATTATTGACCATTCAACTGCCAACATGATTTTGTAAAAAATATAATTCAGACATGATCTCTCAGTGATTATGGGATACAAATGAAACTTCTTATAATAGCCTCTAAGAAAAGTGAGAGCTAAGCTGATATCAGAGGAAGAAACCCAGAGAGAGAACATGGGGAAGGGGGGAGGTTAACCTCTGTATTCCTTTCCTAGGGCTACCATGACACAATACCACAGACTAAGTGGCTTAAACAATGGAAAATTTACTTTTTCACAGTTCTGGAGGCAGTAAGGTTGTTTTCTTCTAAACCATCTTCCCTTGCTTTAGAAATGGCATCTGTTTCCTATGTCTTTACATGTCTTCCAGATACCAGCCATATTGGATTAGGGCCCAGCCTGGTGACCTAATTTTAATGTAATTATCTCTTTAAAGTCCTTATCTCCAAATATGGTCACATTTCAAGGAACTGGGAGTTAAGACTTCAACATGTGAATATGAGAGTAACATAATTTAGCTTGTAACAACCCTATCTTTCACTGACATTTCTGCAAGTTCTCTTCAAGTAATTTTAACAACTTTCATTATGACATACGTATGAGCTCAGGAGTAGCTGATCTGCTGCACCTGGGCTTTTATTCTCTCTTTGTAGCTTTAATTTCTTGTCATTCTTTTCCTTCCTTGCTTTGCTTCAGCCTCACTGGCCTCTTTTCTTGTCCTTGAATACACCAAGACCTCTCCCACCTCTTAGGTTTGTTTCTTGTCTGTCTTCCCACCTGGATCCAGTTCTCTCAGCTCTTCCAATGGCTCATGCTTATCCTATAGGTCTTGGGTTAAAACTCACTGCTTTGAAGAAGCAGCACTGTAGGCAAATCTATAGTGGTCTTCCCGGGCTCTCTCTCACCAGCCTGTTATCCACTATCCCCTTAGAAATAATGGTATTTTGCTACTTGTTTCTTTACTATTTATACATGACTCCTCCCTGGTAGTGTGTTAAGTGTTTAGGGCTGGGAACTCATCAGTCTTGTTTACCATTAGAGTGTCAGGGCCTGACATAGCTAGGCCTGTTTTTTGAATCAGTGTCCAAATGAATTTCCTTTATTAATCATATGCTTTTTGGATCTCACTCAGTCTCAAAGATGCATGCAGTCATATAAAGCAAATACTGCATAATGTCACAAACAAACACTAAGTTTATAATTCTGAACACAAAATATTTTTCAAGAACCATTGAAAAAGTAGTATGTTACATAAGAATTTGGAGACACCCATTAGTATCGCGGAATGATTATAACCACAAGAATTTGCATATGCACACCTTACAACAAATTAATAATAAAAATATTGACCTAGTTTTCATTCTCCTAGACTTCCCTCACTCTTTTGGAAATATCTATAATATTAATGTGTTATAGGATACAGTAATATAAACATCATTCTAGAAAACAGAACAGTATCTGTAAACTAGAGTTAAACTGAACAACCTTACCTAGGAACTTAGAGATGCAGATTGTCAGGCGCCACCTTACACCTACTAAAACTGATCTTTGAAGTAGTTTTTGGTTTCTCAGAAATCTTGTCAAATAGTCCATTTTTCAGGACATAATCAATCTTAATTGTTTGAAACCTCTTGCCCTTTACTCTGCCTGCAATGACATGGTCTTTCTGCTGTTCAACACTTTTGCAGCTGTCTTTAAGGAATTAGAGTGATTTCTCCAACTTTTGAAACTGTTTAAGTGAAATTGCTATATCCTAGGGTTCAAAGTACATTACTTGCTTCCTGAATTACCTATTTGGCTTTAATGAGCTTATTACTACCATTTTTATTGTTGTGTCCAATTTCTAATTCAAATACAAATTTAATTAACTTGTCTGCTATCCAAAGATGTAATTTTTAACAAGTAAAACTCATGAAAAATCAGCATGATCTACAATTTTTCTCTCACTATACTTACAAAGGCTTTTTTTCCTTAGGATACTTATTCAATAAAGAATTTTGTCAGTCTCCTTCAATCTCTTTTTTTGTGTATGTGGCCCATCTTCATCCTTTATAGTGAGAAACATTTTGATTCATTTTTATGAGGCTAACTTTAGACCTAGGGCATTAATGATACCAATTGTTCTTTGCCTTATTTTGGCATAGATCCAATTTCCCAACCTGTATCCAAGGGAAATATTCCATCTTGAGAGCAGATGTTATTATTTCCACTTACGGAGTATCTAGCTTCTGGCCATGCAATGTTAAAAATCATCATTTAAGAAAATGATGTTCAAGAGGGCAACGATTTCTATATATTAATAATAAAATGCTATATTATCCATAATAGTAACTATCATTATTGAACACATTATATTCTAGCAACTGGGAAAAGTAATTTACATATGCTATCTCAATTAAAACTTCTAATGGTCATTAAAATCCTTATCTATGAAGATATCTTACCTATAGAGGTAAAATCTTTACCTGTGAAGAGGTCCAAGGTCATATAATTCAAAGGTGTTAGAGCCCAATTTGAACTCCAAAATTTCTGATTTTAAGCATTATGCTTCAAATCCGATTGTGGCCCTGTTCCCTCAGCTAAAATCTGTCAGTGATGTTGCCCTTTCTGCCCAGACACTGTTCATGAACCAGTTTTACTAAGGCATAGGAAAGAATTTGAGTAATAGCCATTATCAGGAGCAAGAAGAAACTAATATGGAAAGAGTATTTTCACGAGAGAGTCACTGTTAGCAGCATCTCATTTGAGCACTTTCATTGGGTCTCTTTTAAGTCTTGCCTGATCCATGTGGTGCCAGCTATTGAGGAGTTAAGTAACTTGCTTAAGATCACATGGAGAATAGGAGGCAGTGCAGGGATACATGTGACTTATAGGAGAGCTAGTCTTTGATCCCAATCACCAGCGAACGGTGTGCTTATTGTTAAAGGTGACTTGAATCATTTTAAAAGTTATTTACAAGTATCCTAAACTCTCCAAAGATGCATTCTTTGCAGTCATTACAATTTTTCTCCTCTTCATTCTTGTGGCCATGTTTCCTCTTTCGTAGCTCACTTCTTTCTAGGGGCCAATCAGATGATGCACTATAAAAAAAAAAAAAAATCACAAAGGCTAAAAGCATTTGTGTCTTTGCACTGCCTGTTGTAATAGTGCCCAGGGGTGATGTGTCTTTGAAGAAGCAAGGTCTTGGTAAGTAATTGGGGTTTCTTTTTTTCCCATTAAGTAAACACTGTTTTCTGATTTGGTTTACTTTAGTAGAGATTCATTATCTCACAGGAAATTTTAGATGCTTATAAAAATGTATCATACCTGTATTTATTCAATTATCTAACCCTACTAGCCTGTTAAATTGGTAATTATTTTTTTCACACATATTTACTTTATACCTACTAGGTCCTGTTACGGAAGTGAAAACTGACATATATGTCACCAGCTTTGGACCTGTATCTGATGTTGAAATGGTAGGTATTTGGGAAGCAGTATACCTTTTGGGGTTTGGAGAAACATGCCAGAAAAGAGACAATTAAAATTTATTTTATTGTCAGTCACACAAAGCTAGAAATTCAAAGAATAACCAAATTAAACTTAAAAGTTTACAAAGAGTAAGACACTGAATTTGCATTTCAGCTCCAACTTTTGAGTGTTGATTGATTTAAAGTCATTCTCAACAAGAGAACTTTCCTATTACTAGTTGCAAAGTACGACTTTGTATATAGTTTTTTTTTTTTTTCCTCTTTAGAAAACTATTGAGGAAGAGAAAATTAGAGGTTATAATTAGTTTGGGTGTGAGCTAATTGCATACACTGTATTGTAGTCCTGACTGCACTTGGTATTTTATGTGCAGTTCCTTGCTGCCCACTCTTCCCTTCTCTTTCTCCCTTGCTGTCATGCCTAAAGAGGCTAGAATATGAGTATTGGTCAGGAGGAATTTGTTCATTCAACTGTGCTATTTTATATTAAATATATTTACTTAACAGGACAGAGAACCTCCTTCATTTTTTTCCTGACCCTGTGCTCATAATGATTTGAAATGGTTGGGTTATTTGACAAATTGTGATAAACTTTATGAAAGCACAATTTATCTATTTTGCTTTGTCTTAAGAATGTCTACCATCTTATGATTAATCATATAATGATATTTGTTATCCATTAACTGATTTTTGCTATCTGGTCTAAAGTGAAGCCCAAGTCTAATTACCTGGAGCTGGCATTTTTATTAAAAGATGGTCATTATTATGAAATGATTAATATGTGTGGTAACTTATTTTCTATGAGCATAGAAGATGAAGGGAGCCAGATGGACATCAGATACTGTAATTACTGAGAATCTTTTTACTCTATTGATTTAAGATAATTTCTACTTCTATTAATTTCATTTGAGAAAGTCTTTTCTATGAGTGGGAAGAGGTAGAACTTAATGCATTTTTCTGTATGTACATGTGTAGTGCTCTGTGATCTGAAGATGTCACAAACTCATTTCCCCAGGAATACACAATGGATGTGTTCTTCAGGCAGACGTGGATTGACAAAAGGCTAAAGTATGATGGCCCCATTGAAATTCTGAGGTTGAACAATATGATGGTAACAAAAGTATGGACCCCTGATACTTTCTTCAGGAATGGAAAGAAATCTGTCTCACATAATATGACAGCTCCAAATAAGCTTTTTAGAATTATGAGAAATGGCACTATTTTATATACAATGAGGTAATCAATTTTTTCTTTTTCCTTCCTTTTAGCCTTTCTTCCCTCCTCACTTTTCTCCCTTTTTTCCCTCTTTCTTTCATTTTAGAGATATATAGAATTAATTTTAATAAAGGATTGATTTTATTTAATTGCATTTTTCCATCATAGACTCACCATAAGTGCGGAGTGCCCCATGAGATTGGTGGATTTTCCCATGGATGGTCATGCTTGCCCTCTGAAATTCGGGAGTTGTAAGTTACAAATGAAAGTATTTGAATTTCTGATTATCTCACACAAGTTTGATATGTGTTTGTGTGTGTGTGCTTATGTATGCCTGTGATTTTCTCATAATATAGCATTTAAATCATTATCCATGAAAAAAATTGTGCAAGTTTTGATTATTAGGAGTCTGTTCGCTGATATTTTGTGTAAAGAATTAAAACTTCTCTTTTCTTTCCCCAAGTCAAAAACCTACTTGTACAGATAACTTGAATAGATTAATTGATTGAGTCATAATTAATAGGTTGGTGGTCAGTGTTAGGGACCTCTGAACTTTACGTTTATGGTGTTGTAACATAGAAAGTACAAATGATTTTCTTTATAATTTAATAGTTGCTGTTGTTGGCAGAGATGTTTAGTTGTTTATAGCACACTTAGTAAAAGCCCAAAGAAGACTCATGACTTCCTGGCATGACATCAGTTATAACAAAAGCAGCCCTATCAATGGCTGAAGCAGGATACAAGAACAGTAGGCGATTCAAGGGCAGGGCTGGCATGGAGTTGGTGGGGTGGGTGGGGTGGTCAGTCCAGAGATTATAGTGCCTTGTAGACCACATTAAGGAGTTTGAATTCTATTTGAAAACTTGGAGCCAGGAATTTTGAAAGATTTTAAAGGGGTAAATCTTTGATGGACATTTCATATTTTCTTACTTTAGTTCTCCTACCAAGAATGGGTTGTAGAGATATTGGAATGGAAGCAGGAGAGTTGGAGTATGTGGTTTTAATACAAGCAAAAATGATGATGGATTAGGCTAGGATGGTATTAGAGAAGTGATTATGAAATAGATGTGTCTGGGAAATTTTGTAGAGATGAAGGCAAAAGGATGAGATGAATGGGATAGGAAGGAATATAAGATTCCTTTCTTTGAGCTCCCTTCTCTGAGATGGTAACAAAATGTGATTGCTCTTCTAAGGTCTGCCTCAAACATTTGATTCAATCAGAATCTACCAAAAATAGATGCTGGCTTTTACTATTGCTTCAGACTCTTAGTTGCACTGATTGTGAAACTTGCCTGCTGTTATCATTGCTCATTGCTTAACTTAATGAGAATCGGCAGTCACCATTCTTTTTATAACCCTAGTAATCACAATATTCAGTGGGCTAACTTGAAGCTAAAGAAAGTCATTTGCTCCCTGACCAATGATTTAATGAGAGAAGATAAAAACAGAAAAATACACATAAAGGGTGATCTCACTATAGTTGGAATTAAGATTCCTTTGTACTATAATAATTTAAATTTTATACAAGCTATTTTTTATTTAGAAGAAGTATTTTCCATCTTCCACCCCCTCTAGTTCTCGTATAAAGCACTTTTCCGAGTGACCCGAACGTAGTTGGTGATCAATCACGCTTTATATAAAACTAAAGAAATCATACACTAGTGGTTGATGTTTGGGGGCAGGGAATTAAAAAAAAAAAAGAGGCACATCATAATTAGCAAGTTAAGGCCTTACATTTTCTGGAAAGAGAAAAAGAGCACTTAACTATGTTTATAATTCAGAGGAAAGAGAGAAACCAGGAAGGAAAAGGCTCTTCTAGCAAGATAGGATAGCTAAGAGAATACCTGATTTAAAACATCATCTGTAGAACATCATGTACAGGGCTTTAAATATCTGACAAAGCATGAGTATTTAGTAGGATAAATGCTGACATATTACTGGATAATGCTAAATGATACCACAGCCTCGGAGTATGTTTTGCAAGATGACTTTTAAGGAGAATCTGTCTAGGTATGGACTCCTTTTGTAGAATTACACAATTCCCCAAGACCTCCTGTGTTCTAGCCATTTTAGGAAGGTTTTGGGTGGTGGTGGTGGGGAATGGCACATGATTCATTTTGGTTCTTTTGAACTTATTTGTGTGTGAGCCAAGCTATCTGTTCTGGGTAGACTGGTAAGCAAGCAGCTGGTCTCCATTTGCACTGAGCACCGAATAATAGAAAATGGGCTTAAATTGCTTCTGGGAAGAATTTGTTGAAGATAGAAGGGGAAATGTCCTGATTATAAGAGTTTAAAGGTAGTGGAACTGGTTGTGTAATTATATTCCCCGGAGAGCTTTACAAACAGCATAGCCAATTGTCACTGTAGAACGGTTCCCAGTTCCCAAAGAGCATGATATTACCCAGAGGCAGAGTCTAGAAGAGATGACCCCTGGAGAGCTCCTGACCAGTAGGATTTGTTTTTGTTTTGTTGTTGTGTTATTAGAGGCAGCTTCTGATACATTTGAAAATGACAGAGGTGCATTAGAATGGAGAAGTCAGTGTTGGTCAAGCACTGGAAGAGAAAAGTGCAAGAAGCAGGGGTTTGGCAGTACCCTATTGGGAGTTTAATAATCTGCTCTTTAGCTGCTTATCTTATTAGCTTGGGAACACATCCAAATGTTTTAATGTATATGGCCTTGTAGAAGCCTCAGTTTTTGTCTCTTCCTCCTCTAGTTGTTTGGCACAAAAACAGTGAATCCTGCTGATTTGTAATGCTGTTTTGTTTAATATCTATAGGTTTCTTAATTGCAACATGTTTGAGTAAAATGAGTTGAGAGAACATTGTTTTCATTTACCCCATCTTTCTTGAACACATGTCATGTTTTTAAGTGTTGACCACCAATGCCCATAAAAGAGAACCCTGACAGTAACCACATTCTCTGCTCTCATTCAGATGCATATCCGAAGAGTGAGATGATTTACACATGGACAAAAGGTCCAGAGAAATCAGTGGAAGTGCCAAAGGAGTCTTCCAGCTTAGTTCAGTATGATCTGATTGGGCAAACTGTATCAAGTGAGACTATCAAATCCATTACAGGTGAGAAGTTTAATGGTTAAATCCAATATGCTATGTAACATCAGCAGTAGAGTTTTGTCCTGGCTTCATTGAAATATCTAGTGTTTTCACAAGAACAACAAAAATTTTCCAGAAATAGAGTTGATGCATAAACCATAGCTCAGAATTTCTTTATTTATATTTATCATCTTATTTCAGTTTAAAATAAATTCTGAGTTGGTGAAATGTGAGAAGTGAGTTGGTTTTCTTATTCAGAAACAGAAGTCAGTAATCAAGTATATTAAAACTATTTTTAACAAAATCATGAGGCAATAAGTCTGATCTTCTGGTTTTGGTGCTTTCCAAAAATCTCTCTTTTTTTTTTAATGTTGCTCAAGTTTATTATGTCACCTTCCCCCTTTTTCCCCAAAGGAAAAGCAAAATCTAAATCTTAATTTCAAAACATTAAAAAAACTAAAATTGTCCTACAAGTGGATAGATGTCTGTTATTGATGATTCTTTGTCTTTGGAAAATGAATGGAAAGATTGCAGGATTTAGTTCTTATCATATTTAATGGGGAAGATCCAATTATTGCTTCTTCTAGAACTCTTTCTTGTATACACATATAAAGGGGAAAATGTTTTATCATTTTTATCTAGTACATTTTTGTACTGCTATAATAAAATGTCATGAACTTGGCAGTTATAAAGAGCAGAAATTTGTTTCTCACAATTCTGGAGGGTGAGAAGTGTGTGATTAAAGTGCCATCAGATTCACTGTCAGGTGAGAGCTTGTTTCCTGGTTCATAGAATAGAAGAGAGCAGGGGCTCACACCAGGAACTTCTTTTATAAGGGTAATAACCCCATGCATGAGGCCCCACCCTCATGATCCCAAAGCACTACACTGTTAATATCTCCTTATTGATGATTAATTAGGTTTTAACATAAGAATTTTGGGGATACACAAATATTCAGCCCATAGCAATAGTTAAAATTCATTCAGCAGATACCATCTTATAGGCTTCATCATGAATTCTTTCCATGTATTGACTCACTTAGTTCTCATAGCCACCCCATGAAATGAATACTATCACCAACTTCATTTTACTGATGAGGAATATGTAAATACAATGTATTTAAGTAACTTGCTTGAGTCATACAGCTATTAAATGGCAAAACCAAAATTCAAACACAGGCATTCTGAGTTCCAAAAACCTTCTCAAAATGTTCTGAATGCCAGATCAGGATGTTAAAATTGCATTAGTAGGGGCAGGAGTTGTGACTCAGTGGTAGAACGCTTGCTCGGCATGTGTGAGGCCCTGGGTTCGATCCTCAGCACTGCATATAAATAAATAAATAAATAAATAAATAAAATAAAAGATCTGCTGACAAGTGAAAAATATTTTTAAAAATTTTGAATTAGTAGAAAATGAGTGGTTATTGTTAGATCTGGGACAAAATTGTGAAATTATAATGTATGTTTTGTTTTAAGAAAAAAAGATAATAAATCAGTCATGTGAAGGCATGATGACTCTAGAATAGTTAAAAATCATACAGGCAGGGAATGTAATGGTGGTTGCCAGGGCTTAGAGGGGAAAGACTTTATCTTCCCAACCCTTGTCATGACTATCATTTCAGGGGATACCCTCTTCACATCAATTATGAAACTATACTGTAGCCTTCTATCATGGCACTTTGCCCCTTGTCTGTCCAGGAGAAAAACTCTTTTGAAAGATATTCATGTTCTAATCTGAATGTCAAAGGGGCAAACTTTCAATTGTACAAGATAATAAATCCTAGAGATTGCCTGTACAGCATAGTACCTATGATCAATAATACTGTAGTGAATGCTTAAGAATTTGCAAAGAGAATAGATAAAAGAGTTATTTTCACACACACACACACACACACAAAATATTGAATGAGATGATGGGAAGAAACTTTTGGAGATAGTGGATAGCTTTATGAAAGATTGTGGTGATGGTTTTATGAATCTATACTTATCTCCAAACTAATCAATCACATACATTAAATATATAGAGAGTTTTGCATGCCAATCATACCTCAATAAGGTGGTTTAAAAACTATGCAGTCAGGGCACTTTCCACTTATCCTTATAGGAAACAATTTTTTTTTGAAAGATCTTCATGTTCTAATCTGCAAGGGGGGGTGTTTAAAACACATCTGGAGATGTGAGATTTCTGAAACTTGGGCTTCACAGTCTGTGAATAAGGCTACTGATTCCTAAATAACTTTCTTAATATGTCCTTTCAGGCATGATGGTAAAAATATTCCTCAACAGCTACCAGAAATGTTAGGGTATGTTTCACTTACTAGTTTTTTAGGTTATGCCTCTATGCTATACATGTCTGTTTACATTTTTGTTTATATTTATAACATTTAGATATACAGGTCTTTCCTAAAATTAAGGCAGCCTTTCCCTTAGCTTGTATCTGTATATGTGTACTATACATATAAATGGAATACGTATATATATTTATATATTTTATATATGAATGAAATCTATATATTTCATTTCTGTCCAAAATTAAACTGTATATTTTCGTGTGTGTATGTGTGTTTCCATTTTGTCCCTAGTGATTTTTGTAAAAGTTAGTTCTAAATTCTGCTCTCAAAAAATAGTGAAAATGAAAGCTAATTGCTTTAGCAGTAATAGGTCTTCAAAATAGAAAGCATTGCAAAAACTTTTAAAAATTATATCCCAATTTAGTAAATTACTTAGTCGCTACACAAAATAAAGTATTTTTCTGAATAATGGTCTTCTATATCATCCACCCTCCTGCCATGAGGAAACTTTGTATTTCTTGTTTGTATTATGCACAAAAGATAATTTCTTTGCTCAGAGTACTGTGTGTTAGTCTGAAATACAATCATGAAGACATTCAATAATTAACTGCAGAACCAATAATGAATTTTTTTTATATATTTTCTTGGCAGGTGAATACATTGTCATGACAGTTTATTTCCACCTAAGACGGAAGATGGGATATTTTATGATTCAGACTTACATTCCATGCATTATGACAGTGATTCTTTCTCAAGTTTCTTTCTGGATAAATAAGGAATCAGTTCCAGCGAGGACTGTATTTGGTAAGTGCAATTCATTTCTTGGATGTTTTTGTCCACATTACATAATGATCACGATTCATAAGAAATATGAATAATATCTAAGAAAATGATAAACACAAATATATCAAACTTTACTGAATACAGAATCACATAAGCTTTTATTTTTATCTAGCCAATACAAAATAATAATGCTTGAGGAGATATGAGTAGTCTCTCACTTCCTCTGGGGCCACAATGGATTCCCCTTGTTGAGAATCAGTCAAATGAAGACCAACTGTGCACTGCATATAATTTCACTTTTGGTGATATTCTTGGGCTCCTAGCATAATGCTGTGTAATTGAATTAAAATTATATCTAGGTGTTAAAATGAAATGCACTAAGAGCTTAAAATAAAACAAATAAAAGTCATGGCTGAATGAATATGAAAGCCTTAGAATAACTTGTCTTTTAATGAAGAAGAACAAAATGCAATTGGTTTACACTCATTGAATTGGAAGGTATTATGTGCTTAGTTTATGAACTCATTATTATACTCTATCTACATAACATTTTTTTCTGAACCAACATTTTTTTCTTTTTCTTTTAATTGTGGTTTCCTACATATATTGTTCTTAACAATATGAAGTCCAGACCATGTGAGCTTAAACGATTTTGTACTTGTTAATACATCTTTTACAGATCAGTCATGCTTTTACATCATAAAATGATTTATAATTATATCTGTTTAATTTATATCTTTGTGTATTCTTTCTGTATTTATTGCGAGTAGCAAAAGCATTCAGTGATGAGATAAGAAGGAAAACGATCAGAATGTCTCTGGAGTGAATATAGTCCTCACAAGAGATGAAGGTTTCCCTTTGCTTTTCTGTTTAGAAGCATCAAAGCCATGTGCAATATTCCTTCGCATCCAATAGCTGAAGAGATGTTGATAAGAGAGAACTGGAGGAAAGAATTGGAGCCTTTTGTCCTACCTCTGCTGATAATGGTGTTTTAATGTCCTCAATGGACCTGAAATACTCCAACAGAGGTGTTTCCTCCATAGACAACCTCCTTCCTTTAATCTTAGGCTCACCTAAGAGGGTATTTGAGAAACTCAAACTAATGTGGAAGCAGGGTGTGATCTCAGCAATACAGTGAGCAGGTATAATGGCACTATCTACTTCATAGAGTTATGGGTGTTCAATTAACAAATAATTGCACATTCTAAGTGTGAAATAAATTTTAGCTACTAAATATAGGTATGAAAATGAAAGAGATAAAACAACATATCTAATCATTGAATGCTAAGAGGTCAGGGTTTAAAGCATGAATCTGCCACTTACTTTTTCCATCCAGAAAATTGTGTTAATACATCTCTCCCTCATAGACTAGAAGGAATTTAAAGAGTTATGAATAGTACTCAGTGCAGGACACGTGGAACACTTGCTGTATGTTACTTACTCTTTCCTATACCTCTCTTGCATTGGGGAGATTAAATTTTTTTCCAGAATTGGTTGTACTGGTGTTTTAAAGAAAAAATTTATATTTCTAGTGTGTACTACCAGGCATCCTGAAATTCTTGGGTCTTCATACAGTATGTTCAGAGGCAACCTGACTGTGCAGGAACTGTCTACAAAGGCTGAGCATGAGATCCAAGTCCCTTAACTAATCCTACTACAAAAAAATTAATAACTCAGGAGCTATAGTTATTAAAAAAATTTTTTAAATTTGTTTCTATTAGGCTTTACAAATAAGGAAAGCAGTTGTATGCATATTATCATACTATTTTCTGTGGCCTTAAAGAACTAGAAAGAACTAGAGCAAAAATTACCATTTATGATGAAGAGGTAATAGTGTCACAAGTGTAGACTTTGGTTCTACCCACAGGGTCTACTACTTACCAGCTATGAACTTTCGGTGAGCTACTTTTATATAACTCATGTTTCCTCATATGTTAAAAATGGACAAATGGCTGTACTTATCTCATAAGGATGCTGTGAGGATTAAATGAGTAAGTTTGAATAAGGCAGTTGAAATAATACCTCTCACACAATTTATACAGTTTTAGTTGTTTATTAGAGTGACATTCTACATTGCACCTCTGTCTTATGCAAGAATCACTGTTTGATTGGTTGATAAACTTTGCTTTATTTATTGACTATAAACTGGCAGCTATTTTTCTGTCTCCATTGTCCCCAAATATTAGAAATCCGCAGTGATGGAGGGAGGAATAGCATTGTTTACAGTAATACTCACTCAATGCTTTCTATTTGAATACAATATTGCAAGGAAATGATGTATTATGTTATGAAGGGATTAATATTACTACTATCAGTAGGAAAGGACTTGCCATATACTGTCGGGATCATCTATTTTAACCTTCACAATAATTCTGCAAGATGGGCACTACTAATTTTTATAAATAAGGAAAATATCTGTAACATATTAGGAAGCTTATATCAAGTTTCATAATTGTACATGGTGGACACAAGACATTATCTAACTTTAAGAACTCAGACACTCTCTATTCACAGTGATTAGGGCTTTTCTTTTGAAATTTGTCCCTGTGTCCTGTGCCAAGATACTGCTTTTGACTGATCAAGAAAATTATGCCAATAATTACATCTTCAAAGACCTAAGATGCATTCGGATGGTAATTATTAGACTATTCAATGAGGATTTAGAATGGTATTTTCTTAGGGAAGTAAAGCTGTAAGTATTTGGGGGTATTACCAATCTATTTCATATGAGATTTAGGTGAACATTCATTCTGGGCTAGTTTTTTGTTTGTTTGTTTGTTTTCTAAGTCTCATTTCCCTCTTCACTCATAAGGAGAGAATTTGCTGAGTCAGAGTCAGCATTTGAGACCATGCAAAACCAAATCTCAGAAGATCAGCATAATTCTGAGAAGCAGAACATGCTAAATTCTTCACAAAGGACTTCTATCTCCAAACTTGTATGACTCTTAAGTTTTCTAATTATTCCAGTATAGTAAAACATTAAACACAAGTAAATGCCAGCTGGCATAGCTAAGTTATTGCTATTTCATTTTCTAGGAATGGCCAGCCAAAATTTCACTCTAGTGTACAGTCTTAGTCTCCTCTTACATATCCTTTCCCAGCTCCTGGGCCAGCCAATATGGTGCATATTCAGCATTCTAAATGCAAGGACTGGCATCGGTACTTGAATGTGTCAAAAAAAGTTATGGCTTTGAAAAGTCAGGACGGCATTTACGACAAATTCTTGTACTTCTTTCTAGATGGAGAGGAATGGTGAATTTTTAACTGAAGGGCTGGTTTCTGTTTGCTGTTCTATTGGTGTCTAGTCAGTCAAATGCTGTATCTAAAGCCAGGGATAATAAATCATGCAAGTGCTTTCTTTAAATTTGAACACCTGGTAGAAAGAACTTTTTAATGCCTAAAGTGGTGGAAACTTTTGAACATTTAGCCTGCTTTTTATGCCAGCTAATTTCATAATTTTGCCAACAGTCATAAAATAGGAACCATAATATCTGGAGGGCCATTGCATAAACTTGAAAATCAAGCTGATACAAAACACTGAAAGAGAAAAGAAAAGCAGCATCATATATATACAGCTTTTTTTAATTTTAATTTTTATTTTTTGGTATTGGTATCCACAGCATCATTTATGTCATGAACCTGGTGATCTGTCTACTTCTAAAGAACTGGAATGAAATTTTTGGATTCTCACTTCAATAATTGCTTTAGTAACCTACTTATGAGACATTCAGAAGGGATTTTTTTTCACATGTCAGTAGGAGAACCTGAGGACCACCACTTCTGAGCCTCAGGAGAAATTTTTCTATGTTAAAAAAAAGTTTAAGTAGCATAAGAATTCTTAAGTTCTTTTTATTTGAATTTGAGTTTCTTTCTGGTTATCGTATTAGAGTCTCTGTGGAATTTTCTGAGTAGTGAGTAGTATTCTTGTTTAGATTCCACTCTTCATATTTTATTTGCAAGTGCTTTCATCATCATTTCTGTCACAATAGAAGAAACATACTACTCACATATCTCAAAAAGTTGGAAAACATTTTTGAATTCCTAATAGTCCATTACATTTAAATCATATGGATAAAAAGAAACATTTTTGATTTATCTTAAATTTTGAGGCTAAAAGTTTTTCAAGGTTGTTTTAGGATTTAGCTCACAGCCAGCAGCATTACAATGGTGCCATTTTTCTGAGTCTGAGAATGGGGATCTAACTGTTTGAAACTCTCTTTCAGAAACAAAGCCCAATAAATTCACAGTATTTTATTTTCGGATATATGTAGATATATCTGACTGGGTAAACATTTGAACATTTATTTTAGGCTGATGAAATGCTAAAAAAAACACAAAAAATTCCAGATAAGGAACACTATCAAAATCTCAAATTTCTTTCTCTGTATAGTTTATAAGAATGTTTTTGAAAGTCTATAGCTCATGTGCTGCACAGTTGCTCCAATTTTTCATGTCCTAAGTATTGAAGATTCAGAAGGAGACTGAAATTCAAAGAAAACGGATTGGTGAGGAATTGGAAAAAATGAGTGTTTTATTTACTGTGCATTTAATCTGTGCCTGGCACGAGGTGGAATATTATGTTAATCCTTAAAGCTATATTCAACATGTCTGCTGTCAACAAGAGCAATCAAGTAGGAAATAAGGTTTACATATGTGGAACAGTAAGGGAAATAGCACAAGACAGGGAATAATTAAGTGCTTAATTGAGGAGCCAGTATTGTCCACTCTCAATCAAAACATGGGTATTCCTTTATTGTCACATTGGTTCACTGTGTCTTCATTTGAACATGCATTATTTGCCTTTCAGCTGGGGTCTGCCATGGATTGGAATATACAGTTTAGATGCCTTCATCACTGTCGTCATCACTGCCATCACCACCACCACCATCATCATCCCCAGACACCTGGGTGTGTCAACTTTAGTACCTATCTTAGGCATTGTATAGAATGAATTCAAATGGATGTAGTAAATCTTCACAGGAATTTCTAGGCTGAACTGGAAATATGGATTAGATAGACATAGTTGGAAAAGGGGACAGCTATGGAAATATTAGTATCCTCAAATAATGCATTGCTCTATAGTATTAGTATAAGTGGAGTTTTTCTACTGAGAATGGTGACTGACTTGTCTCTAGGCTGAAGAGGATGTTTTCCTGGAAGTGGTATTTCAGAAGTCTTCTTGAGGGAAGAGAAATACCTCTGTTCTTGTTGCAGATATTTTCCTGACAGCTATAACAGAGGAATGATGAGCATCCATGTTTTAGAGGTCAAATTGCTCTAGAAACCTATTTGTCTAGGAATATACTTTTATAGTTTTAGTAAATTAGGTTCCTGAACAACTGGTAAATTTATTATTTTAATTTCATAGATAATATTCAGTTGAAAATAAAGACATATATCATTTGTGCTTTTTCTTGCAGTAATTCCCAATAGCAGTGGATCATTCTTACCTAGGAAATTCTGATGCTCCCATTTAGGAGTTTAGTGTTCTCAACGTGTCATGCCTGGTTGAGAGTCACTGCTTTAATAAATCACTCTTTTTGTAAGGTGTGTTTAGTGATTCCTTAGGTATATTGTCTCAAATTCCAGTAGCAACTCACTAAGTGCAATGACCTTTACATACTTACAAATTTTATATCAAATTCAGTAGGTATCAATGAACTCATTTTGTCCCAGTGTCTTAGATATCATATTTGCCCAATGTCCTGTGTATAGGATGGCTTTTGTATGTAAAAGATGTAACATCACCACAATGTCCTATTAATAGGAAAATCTATTTTCATTCTTAGTAAGAATAAAGAATGTGTAAGCTTCATATTATAATTTCCATCCAATTTTAATGCACTTTTGTCAATTTTATTGAAATATTTGCAGAATTGAAAACTTGGAACATAATGGGTTCCAAGACACATAGAGCAAATGATTAGAAGGGCCAGAAATTGAACCATATTTGTCTCTCACTTCAAACCTGTGCTAATTTCATTTGAACCAGTAGAACTCACAATCTCCATCCGTGATGATATTGTATGAGATGTTGTTAACCTTGTTCCTCTAATCCTTAGAGTTTATTTTTTGTTTTGTATTGAAATAACAGCAGTTTGCTTTATCTCTTTGCTTTTTTGCTTTAAAGGAATAACCACAGTCCTCACTATGACCACACTAAGCATCAGTGCAAGGCATTCTTTGCCCAAAGTGTCCTACGCTACTGCCATGGATTGGTTCATAGCTGTCTGCTTTGCTTTTGTATTTTCGGCCCTTATTGAGTTTGCTGCTGTCAATTATTTCACCAATATTCAAATGCAGAAAGCCAAAAAGAAGACATCCAAACCTCTTGCAGAAATTCCACCTGCTCCAGTACCGAAAGAAAAGCATCCTGAAGTACCTCTGCAGGTATTTGGTTTAATCTCCTTTAGCCTAAGTTTTTAGCTTTTTTGATCAAATATGTGTCAGAACTTGAAATTTGAGTGACAATTTGTAAGTAACTTAAAAGTCCAGGAAAATATAAGAAAGTTGTTTATGAATTCAAAGTTTAAAACAGATTAATAGCTTAAAAATTAAACAGCTCTGAATGAGGCAGATATAATCAAAACTACTTTTTGTTTGAAAGTTCCTTTCAGAATGAAAGTTTCTCACAGAAAGAGGCAAAAGGTCATATGTACTGTCGTGAGTAACTTGTGGACATTGTTGATTGGTTTGCAAAGGCATTTTAGTAGACCTCATTGCACAAAGTAAAGCAATGGCTCATAATGTGACCCCAAATGAGGACTATCTCCTGGGACTGGGAAGAACCTGTTCACTGCTATTTAATAAGAAAACAAAGTCAACAAACAAGATACATAATTGTGGTTGATGTACATCCATAATTGAGAATTTTTAGCTCTAATGGGATATATTTAATAGAATGTAGAAAGCCTAATAAGAATTACTATAATTTACATTTGACTAATCAGGATTCTGATTTAAGAAAAAATGATCATGGTTTTTTCCCACATGGTCTCTAACTGTATAAAACAACAAGCTCTTCATAAAAACAGGAAATATAATGGGCATTCTCTTTCTCTCTCTTTTTCCTTCTGTTTCTCACCTTCCTGCTCCACTACTCTGCTTTCTCTCTTCTTCTTTGTCTCCATTTACTTTTCTTGCATAAGCAGAAAAATGTCTGTAGTCACCCATGCGCAGCCTAATGTAGTTGCCACTAATGATCGTCTAAAAATCCTTTGATCTATATATACCCAAATCAAAGTGTGCAGAAATAATCAACTTTATTCTCTTCAAATGACAGCTCAGTCCTTTCTTCCTTCATTCACTTACCCACTCATTTGACAAATATATATTTAACACCAGCTGCCAATCAGACTCTGTTTGAAGGTCTAAGAATCATTAATGTATCAAAATATCCCAACATATATCCTACAGAATGGAGTTTATGTTCATTTGTGTGAGGTGAGGGAGGGGAGGCAATTACAAAAAAAAAAAAAAGTAAAACAGGTAGTGATTTAGGTGTAGGTAGTGCTATGATAGATAGCATCACAGTACTACAGAGGCCAGGAAGTAAGGGTACAGAGTGAGAGGCCTGGGATTTGACTTTCAGAGAGGAGAGGACAGTAGAACAAGTGAGGTTAGGTGCCCTCTGTGGCAGGGATTAACTGGTCAGAGTCCTGAAGTTCATGGCTATGCTGGGTCTCTAAGAATGGCATATAAGCAGGTAGAAAATTGAATGCTTTTCTACCAAGTTTACACAGCTTATCTTTTCTTCTAAGTGACTCTGTATCATCAAGATTTTCAAAATTATCAGAATGCATTTTGTATACTGTTTTCAGTTTTAAAATACTGTTTTTCAGTTTTATTTTCTTTGGTGGTTTTATTTTCTTTCCTATTCACCATGGGAAACTTATTGCCTCTCTGCCTTTTATTGATATTTCATTTGTTTTGTTGTGTTGAAGCCCTGGCCAAAGAATCCTATTTACAGCTTCTTTAAAAGCATCATGCCTTTGATTTATTCATTTTATTGTTTCTGTTTACTTATTATTGATTCAAGATTTTATTTTAATTCCATTTTTCTTTGGGTTAATTATGCATTTTTAGCTTCTTGAGTTTGCTTCTTGATAATTTATTTTCACTGTTTCTCATGTAATAATAAATTTACTGCAGTGAGATTTCTTTGTCTACATCTCTGGAAATAATCAATAATTTTGATTATATAATATATTTGTTAACTATTCTATAATTATGTTGTTGCTTTACTTTTTGAGCAACAGATTATTTGGAGATAACATTTAAATTTCTAAGTGAGTTTTTCTCATTTATTTAATTTTGTGTCATAGTGCATATATGATTAGAAATATTGCATATGAAGATTTAAATGTTAAAATATTTTCATTGTGCCCTGAATCATGCTAAAAATTTATAATGCTTACATTTAAAGGAGTTAATTTTTAGTTGTCAAGTCAGTTTTACTTAAAGCACTATTTTTTACTGTGTGTGTATGTGTGTGTGTGTGTGTGTTGGTGAAGGGCATAAAGTCATAACATTTATGAATTGGGAAGGACTTTAAAACTAGTCAGAATCCTAATCACATGCTTCATGTCCTCTACATTGTGTGACTGTGTATGTGTTAGGGCAATTTACTTGATGAATATCTGTGTCCTAATAACAGTGATTAATGGGTTGCCCCTTCCCCAACTTCCTGAATCCAGCTCCCTTACAGAGAACAGCTGGCTTTAGAGTGTCAGTTGCCATTGAATGGCTTTAGTATCAAGTTCAAATTTGAAGGTTGAGAACACATTAAACATCAGGGGGAGACTATGGGAGAAATAGATAAATAGAGAAAAAGAAATCAAAAAGGGGAATTTAATAAGAGCAAAATTTACAACATATTACAGAAAGGAAATATTCTAAGAATCTGCCAAGGTTGAAGTTTCAATAGAGACTAATCAGACTGTTAAAATTTGCTTATTCAAATATGTGTTCCAATGTGTACTACTGTTTACTTATTTGAATGATACTGACTTTGTTTAAAATGTGTTTGAGCCCCTCATTTGGAATTGACTTCAGAGTTTAATGATATTTAGTAATTCAATAGTCCTTTGGGAAGCTCAGTAGTGGTTTGATTCATTGTCACCATATGTGACCTATGGACTGTTAATGACCTAGCAGAGGCTTATGGTGACCATTTCTATTCTCTGGGAATTGGAAGCTTATGGTTTATGGAATATTCATGAAATAGGAGAAAAGGCCAATTGGCAGGATGAAAGAGAAGCTATCAGTAGTTTGAGTATGTTCTTGGATATCTCAGGAAGCGGAGCAGATGTTTTGTTTCTGCTCATTATTATCTTAGTTCTGCCTTTGAATATATCTCTAATACTTGAGTTAAACTCCATTCTTGTGGCTTTTTTTTTTAACTTTTAAAAAGGGTTTTATTGCACTATTATTTACATAGCACAAAATTCAATATATACAGTTCAATGATTTTTTTTTAATTTTTTATTGTTGGCTGTTCAAAACATTACATAGTTCTTGATATATCATATTTCACAATTTGATTCAAGTGGGTTATGAGCTCCCATTTTTACCCCATATACAGATTGCAGAATCACATCAGTTACACATCCATTGAAAGTACATACAAGAGGAAGTGAGGGGAAGGGGAAAAATAATATAAGGGGGACAAACGAATGTCAGTAGAGGGAGCAGAGAGAGAAGAGGGGAGGGGAGGGGAGGGGAGGGGGGATAGTAGAGGATAGGAAAGGCAGCAGAATACAACAGACACTTGTGGCTTTATTCTTCCAAACCCTTACTACTTCTTAAAATACCTTCTCTTCCACTGATGGAGATGATTTGGATGAACAGAATGGTTTGAAAAATAAGTAACTGTAGAGCTGTAAAAGGAAGCTGTCTTAATTAAATAACATTTTAAAAAATAACTTGAAAATATATTCTTTATCCCTTTTTGGCCACAAAGTATGCAAAAAATCCAGTGATAACATTAATTGAACTCTTGTTTTGTGTTAGGTACTATGTGGTATACTTACCCTGTGTTATTTAATTGCTAGCTCACAATGTCCTTTACAGATGAAGAAACTGAGGTCTGTAGTTTTAAATATACTCATGATAAAACAGCTAGAAAATGATAAACCTAATATTACAATTAATTCAGCTTTGTCTGATTGCAGAGCTTGTTTTTCCAAACTCTATAGCATTTAATTTATGATCTCTCTATAAAGAATAGATATAAGAATGCAGGTGTGTATATATATAGATCTATATGTGTACATATGGTACATATATGTATAGATATAGATAGATAATGATCAGCCCAATACCGGGTCTTTTGTTCATATTCCTATGAATAATGAATAATAATAATTTTTTAATGTTTTTATCAGACAGTATTAGGAACTTTCCCAGGCATTTTATCTATAATTTAATTCTAATAACATATATAATATGTCCTATTTTCATTCATGTTTTACCAGTGTGGAAATTATTAATTAGGAATTAAGTAATTTGCCTAAGGTCTTCTGTCTGGTAAGTGAACCCAATACTTTTAAGTCTCAGTCCTTAATGACTGATTAGACCTGTTGAATGAGAGATATGGAGGATGGGATAGAGGATGGTGGTGTCATTAACTAGGTTCAACTTTAGAAAAGGAAGATTTCTAAAGCAAGACATTTTTCTCTTTTACTACAGAAGTGATAACTTTCCTTTTTCTAATTACATGTACATATTTCTCTACTGCCTATATATCATTTTCCATCTACTTAAATTCTTTTTTCTCTTTATTTTTATTTCATTGTAGATATTATGCATGAACTTTTCCATTTCAAACTGTACATATATTCTTACAAGCTATTTGCAAAATTAAAGAGCTATTTCCTCTGCTTATAGTCTTTAAGGAAAAGATGATACAAAAAAGAGAATATAAATAATTCAAGGTATACCTTAGAGTTAGTAATTCAAGGGCCCTCTTAAGAATCTCCTTTTTTACTATCCACTTTCCAAAGTCAAACACTAGTTTTGTTTCCCATATGGTGTTCTTTCTGAGTCAGCTCTGGAATCTCCAGGACATGGTCTCAAAGTTCCACACCTATAATGTAGGGACAATCGTAGAAACTTCTAGAAAGACTTGTAGTAAGGATTGCATTACATCATGCATGTAAAATATACATACAGCACTTAAGTGCCCAAAATAAATGTACTCATGATTATTACTGTCCTTAATTTCATTAAACATTTTTAACATTTAAAGTATTCATGACCTAATTTGTCACTTTATAATATTCTGTCATATTTCCCTCAAATTATTTCATATGTGATTCCTGTATTTGCCTAGCTAGACCTTAAGCTCATCAGTAAAGTGATTATGATTTCATTTCATTTTCCCATGCAGC